CTGGGGGTCCCCGATAGCAGCCCCGGCTGCTCACCCCCTTCCTCTCACCCCCAAGCCGGGAGACCCCTGCCCCTCTCCTTGTCCCCACAGGGAGCGGGGGGGCTGCCCCAGCCCTCTGCACCCCCGGCTTGTCCCCATGGCCCCCCGCCCCAGACCGGGGGGAGCCCCCAGCCTTGTGCAGCGGCCACTCAGACCCCCCTCAGCCCTGGGCTTCGTTTTCTTCGCAATTAGCCGGGAGATAAAGCTAATGGGTGGGTCCTGGTTTGGGCCGAGATGGAGTTTCCTTCCCAGTAGGTGATAAGGGAGCGCGGTGTTTGGGATTGGGGATGGGAACAGGCTGATAAATCCGGGATGTTTGGGCTGTTGCCCAGCGGCGCTCGCACCGAGTCAAGGACTCTCCGGCTTCTCAGGCATCGGTCAGCGGGCGCTGAGCAATCCCCTCCTGCATCGCTTGACTTACTGTATAATAATAATAAAATATTATATTATTCTCCCTTCTTTTTCTGTCCCATTAAACTATCTTTTACTCAACCCGCAAGTTTTACCTTTTTTTTTTTTTTTTCCCCTGAAAATTCTCTCCCCCGTCCTGCTGTGGGAAGGAGTTTATTTACCCCGCTGCCAGGTTAAATCACAGCAGTCCTTTTTTGGTGCCCGACGTGGGGCTCAAAGGGTTGAGATAACGACAGATCCGACCAGAGTGTGCTAAATTTCTCTCAGAAGCTATTACCTTTTCTCCTCGGAGAGCCAATCTATGGGGGAGACAAGGAGGAGCATTTTCCCCCACTCCTTCACTTTTCCCTTCCCCTCCAGGCTGGTTACTATAGCTCTAGAGAACTTTTAGTATCTGGGGGTTTGGGGAAGAATTTTGAATACCAGGGGGGCCCCGGATGGGGCCATATTTTCAGAGCCCCATCCAGGAGAGGCAGTGCCCGGGGGATGTGGGGTGGCCGGGGCAGTGGGGCTGGAGGGCTGGGGTGTGGGGGCTGACTCTGGCCACGCTTTTTCTCCGGCTCTCAGGAATTTTGCCCGCGGATTCTGTCGCTGGGGCCAGAACTGCCATTTCTCACACGACAGAAAGTCAGCCCAGGTCTGCAGGTACTTCCAGAGCGGGTTTTGCAGCTACGGCGAGCGGTGCAGGTAAGGGGCAGCGGGGAAGGGGGCCTGATGCCACAAGGATGGGCTGGGGGGGCCAGGAGGTGCCATGCCGGGCTGATGGGACCCTCTGTCTCTCTGTCCCTGGGCTCCTCCAGCTTCCAGCACATCCAGGATGAGCCAGTGGGGACCCTCTATGGCCCCCTGCCCACTGTGCCCCCCAGCCACTGGGGCTCGGAGCCCCACAGTGGGCCTGCGGCTGGGGCCCGGGGCCCGGGGGGATCCCGACACAGCTTGGCCCACCCTGTCCCCAGTGTGATGCGTGTGGCCTTCAAGTTCTCAAGCATGGAGATTGAGGAGGAAGAGAAAGACAAGGAGAACATCCCAGCACCTGATAACGTCCCCCGTGGGGCTATGGGTGGAGAATTTGTCCCTGCACGAGCTCGGGGTGCCTCAGGTGGGTGCTGGGGTGCCCCAGGGACCAGCAGAGCTGAGGGTACTGGGGTGGTCATGGTGGGGTACCCTGGGCATGTGTCTGCTCTTGACCCAAATCCTCCTCCCTCCATCTCTGGGGCTGTGGAAAGCTCTGTAGCAGCTTTTTTAGGGTGAGGACCTTAACTTCTCAGCTGGTGCCCCCCAAGCAGCCAGCCTGCCCCTTTGACAGTGGGCCGGGATGTGTTTTTTCCCTTCCTAAGAGCTCTCCTTCCTGCAGGATCCCAACCACGAGGGCAAGGACTGGATCCAAACTCTGCTGACCCCAGAGAGGTGACAGTGGAGACGGCGACATGGACTGACCCTGCAGAGGTGGGCTTGGGGGGGTCTCCTGGGGCCGCACAGTCCCCGTCACTCCACGTCGGTCCCCTAGGCTGGGACAGTGATGGAGCTGGGGGGCTGCTCTGCTTGCAGGTCCCCACGGAGGCGGGCGCTGCGGCCCCCCTGGTCCCCCCGGCAGTGCTGAGGGCCCGCAGCGAGGCCGTGGTGTGTGGCATCTGCATGGACCGGGTGTACGAGAAGCCGCTGCCGGAGGAGCGGGTCTTTGGGATCCTGCCGAACTGCAGCCACGCGTACTGCCTGAGCTGCATCCGCAAGTGGCGTCGCAGCCGGGACTTCCAGAGCGTGGTCATCAAGTGAGCGGGGATGGGGGACACGGCAGGGTCGTCACCAGTGCCCTCTTCTGCACCCCAAAATCCTTCCTTGGGTCTGGCGGTGCGGCTTTGGGATTGGAGCAACTTTCCTTTGGGAACAGCTGCTTGGGAGTAGGGATGGGGATGATGGGGATGGGGCTGCTGGATGAGGCCATGGCAGTGGGACCACCAAGTGGGTGCTGAGACCCACCTGCACCCATTGCCTCCCCGCAGGGCCTGCCCGCAGTGCCGGGTCACCTCCAGTTACTACATCCCCCACAAGTACTGGGTCTCGGACGCGGGTGAGAAGGAGAAGCTCATCGAAACCTTCAAGGCGCGGACGGGGTGAGTGTGTGGTGCGGCGGGCTCTGTCCTGCTCTTGGAGCTGCACTCGCAACTGGTGCTTTGAATCCCCCAGGAAAATCCGGTGCAAGTTCTTTGTGCGGAACCGTGGCCGCTGCCCGTTCAAGTCAGAGTGCATCTACCTGCACGAGCTGCCTGCGGGACGGACACCGCGGCGCAGGCGGCCCAGGGTGCCCATTGTGAGTGGGGTGGCACATCCTGGCGGGGGGACTGGGACACGCTGTACGGCTCGAGGCCGGGGCTCACCCTCCCTTGCTGTGCCGCAGGAGTTCAGCCCTTCTCCCTCGGAGAGCTCTGAGGAGGAGGAGGAGGACGAGGACTTCTGCTTGCTCGAATGGGCGCTCTCGCTGGTGGAGACACGCTTTCGGCGCTTGGGTTATGACCACGAGATGTTCTTCATGGACTTCAGCGACTCCGACTAAGCCATGGGGGATGCCCCATGGGGCCTGGGTGCTGTTGGTAGCGAGGAAATGTCTTCTGGGAGGGGGAAGCATCTATTTTTGAGGTGTTTCGTTGCTCCCAGCATTGGGTTGGGGGGGCTCTGAGCATGGAGGGTGTTGCAGGGGTGGGATGAGAGGGGGAAATAGCCCCGTGTCCATGGCTGAGCCCCCAGCGGGTCTGGCATCCCGCTACCCCCCTGGAAGCTGGGGGGTGACAGAGCTGTAGGGGTCTCAGGGCAGTGGGGCACAACATCCCCCCTTCTCTTGCCCTCACCTCCTGGATGGTGCCGTGCTCTGCACCCACGGGAGATCTTATGGGAGCCGAGGGGGAAACTGGGATGGGTGCTGGGGGGGGAATGGGGGTTT